CTCGATTTGTAGGTTGTTTTGTTCATTGCATGGGAGTATGTTGGGCTGAAGGGAGAGATAAAGGCCCGGGGGAAGGGCGGTGGTTGACGGGTTTGAATTTGCTGTCGTGTGCCTGACATTTTGGTCGAAATTGTTTTGAATTGTTTTTTCGCCATTTCTGTTATATATGACCAGCCATTACTAATTCTTGGGTAAGCTGTTATTCAAGAGGGGATTGCATTCAATATAAGGGTAATTTATCTGAAATTCAGCGTTTAGAACTATGATTCAGACACCATGTCAGAATTCAGTTGTTTACACAATTTATTTTAACATAACTTCATAGCCAGTACCAGGGAATCAGCAACTTGGTTTGCATTAAAGAGAATTACAAAAACAAACAAAAACAAAAAAGACTCCAAAATCTAGGACATCTTAATGTAAATATTAGCAGTGTGTTACTCCATCTGCTATATGTTAAAGTCCTTTCCGCTACTTGTCCTTCGCAGTGCATGTTTTGGCAGTATGAAACAAGTGACAGGCTTGACTGGGATTTTCATTTTAAGAGTTGTGAAAATGAATGATATTTGTAAGTGATGATCCTGTTCTGGTTAACACTTCATACCTAATGGATTTAGGTTGGCATAGTTTTGCTTTCGTATATGTGTATGGTACAAAGGAAACACTGCATGTGGTGGATAGTAGAACAATAAAGCAAGGTTTTCCAATCCTGCATTTGGAACTCCTCGTCTAACCAATTGGACAAGATATTTTGAACATTTGGAACCCCTATTTTGGCATCCTCGACAAGTTGTCCATCTCGTCGATCTCACCCTTCTTTGAAGCTGGGCGAGGAAGACGAGATGACGTCACAATGGCATTTGTATGTAAGCAGTGACAGTTTATTGATAAGTAATATATGGCCCTCTGTTGATTTTATCAAAAGGTATTTTTGCATTTGTCAGTTGCAGATAAGTTGACTATGTATGAAGGGAATTACAAAACTTATGCAGTTTGTTAAATAAAGACACCAGTATGATAAAATGCAAATATTTACTTTCAGGCTAGTTGCATTGTGGGCAATTAAGTCCTAGATAGTTCTGAACATGGCCTTTTGTCCTGCTGGTCCTGACAAGTTGTCTGGACAAGCAAGACAAGGAGTTCTGAATGCAGCATATATTTCTACTGTTACCTCCTGACATGTTGTCACAGATTATCCTTTTCTCTAGCTTGGCAATTCTTTTTTCTATTCCTCTCTCATTTTGTGAGTGAAAAAAGTTATTCAGATGTAAAGATGCAACTTTCGGTAATTCTCGCCCGAGACCAGGTTCCCAACTTCACATCACAAAATTAAATATCATTATAAATTTTCGTAACTGTGTGTGCCCTTTGGCACTGTCATAGGGGTCTTCACTTTGATTTGCTCAGCAAAATTGAGCTGAAACCTGGGAGAACCAAATGGACTTAGGCTGAGAGCGGTGATTTCCGCAATCTTTTCCCTTTATTTTTGCTGCTACCATTTGTGTCTGCAAAATATTTCTTGTACCGAGGACTGCAACTATTTGTCCTCAACAAGAATATCTCATTCGGTTACCATAAAGATTAACCCAACTTTCCATCTCTCCCTACTTATTATTCATTGATTAAGGACTAGAGTATGCAGAGATAGAGAAGCTTATAGAACACCTAAGATAACACCATTGACTATAAAGATCATCTGCCAAATGTCACTCAAAAAAGATACACTCACGGTAGCTCCAGCCCTTGCCATGACCTGTGATTTCAGCACTCTAGCAAAAGGGCAACATACCTTCACCATGTATATTCTGACAAGATAGAGTTTGTACATAACCCAGCTGATTTGCTATCAAACAAGGAATTAGACCAAGCTCATTTTTGCTGATTATTTATTGTGGAGTATTTTCAGCAGTTGTACCAGGTTGACCCACCAACAGTTAACTTGGATGTGGGTAGCGCCAAGATTCCTGTGCCTTGGAGTCACGTCTTGATGCCTTTTGTAATAGGTCCCTGCGCGCAGATCACGGGGTACTGTTGGGCGGACCATGTGTCAAACCAACGGTTGCACTGTGAGACTGGCACAGCACCTATTACCTGCAGAATCTGTGATCACCATCTCAGGCTATACAGCCACCAGGCTCACTTCCCTCAGGAGGATCCTGTCCACCAGGATCACCCAGGGCTATTCGAGACAGTCCTGGGTGGAGGAGGCCTGTGGGACAACCTAGGAAGTCGTGGCTTGAGCAGATCATTTAAACCTGTCGTGAGGAGCTTGAGATGGGCCGAGTCCCTGCCTGGCAACTTGCCATGAGGGACCCTCGCAGGTACAAGCAAGGGGTGGATGCGGCCATGCGCCACCGTCGGCGTTAGCTCCGCAATGATGATGATGATGATGTTTGTTAACCTTTGCCTGACTACTGAAGTTGTGAAGGCCATGAATCCCAGATCTCAGTTAGATTCTAGTATTCTAGTCCACTAAAATATTAGTGGCATGTTCTTATAGGCAATAATTTCAAGTGAGTGTTTTACCTGTCCTCTTCATGTCCTCCCAATTATTTAACTAAGCATCCATCTGTGACAAATATTCAGCTTTTAATTTCTGATTTCAAGTAGCACAGTACAACAAAATTTATATAAAGCATATTAAACGATCTTCTTGATGTTGCACAATAACTACTAGTATCAATAAGGCCTCAGCATTACAGCAAAGGGTAACAAATCACCGAATATTCAGCATGATGGACCATGAACTGTGGTCCCTATTTGATCACAGGTCACTAGTGTGTTCTAAAAGCTCTTTCTTGCCTGAATATGCATGGTTGAGTTTTATTGTCCTTTCACTGGAGTGCCAAAGACAGAGGCCATGGCGAACTCCAAATTCTCTGCAGAAGATACTTTGGCTTGTTTTCTACAGCTAGTTAATAGATCCAATAAACCTCAAAGTATCAGATGCTGAATAATTGTTTTAGGAATTCTTTGTGAGAAAAAATGCATTTTAAAGAGTAGGATAAGAGGTGGTGTGGATGAGAGAGTTACTTTCTTAGTTAAATCATAGAATTATTGAAGGCAGTTGAAATTATGAGAAGACTGCCTATAGATACCGGATTACCTTTTCAGGCTACAATGTAAGGCTCCAGAGATGCCCCCTGACTTGCCTGAGGCAACAGGCCTCTCCTCGGTGGTCACAAATGTTTCCAGCAGAAGTGCCGGAGCCGGTGACCGAGAAGATCCTGCGAAACAAGAAAATGGAACGGAACACTCAAGCACTTCCTGCACTTCAACAAATGCTGAAACTGGAGGTTCCCAGCCTCCCAGTGCAGCAGGTGGTGGCTGTAAAATGTATTATATCACACCTCAGCTCAGAGATACCTTTGCGTCTATTGGAGCGGTACATAAACCATACCAATTTAGAGAGGTAATTATAGTGCATTCATTTTGATTTTGATTTCCCCAGACCTATAGCTTTTATTATATCAGAGCTGTATGAAATTTGCAGCTTCTATTTTGTTGCTGCTATTTATAAGTAGTAATTTATTATCAGTAATATTATCAGTGTTTTTATTATCATTTCTACTATTGGTATTATTGATATTATTATTATTGGTATTTTTAGTATCATCACTATCATTATTATTATTACCATTATGATTATTGTCATTATTATTAGTAGTAGTAACATTATTATTCATTATTACTTGGTGAGATTTAAGGATTTAAAACAAATGATATACAAAGATGCCTAAGAAACACACTATAAAGAAAACACATAAAAAGTGGAAATGATGTCTTGTGTAGCTTATCCCCTATTAGAATTTACAAATAAGAAGGAAGATTTACCATAAAAGTAACCCAATGCTGCAGAGTTGCTGGAAAGGGTATAGCCAAAATGTTATGTGGGATTCCAAAGAAGTGACTCAGATTTTGATAACTTATAACCATTTTTCTGGTCCTGTTGTTAGGAAAAATTGTGTCAGAATAATAATATCCGCAATAAGATACTATGTGATAATGTTTTCTTGTAATATGGAGGGCCTTGATCATTGATTTTTATTAACATTAAAATTATTCATGATATTTACTGAATATTTGTGTACTGTATAATGTTCAGGTATTCATTACACAATGATAATTTAGTTCAGGTTGTTTTGTTTCTCCCAGATTGAATGGTTATGTTTTGCAGGTTCTGCAGATGCTGAAGACTTATCTTTATAGTAATCGTAGTTTATTCGACCCACAAGACATTCACTATGTCAATTGTGGTAGTGATCCCCTTGGGAAGGCTTTCGGAGTAAATCGATTTCACTTTAATGATGTAAGGTAAGAGTCCTATCTTGTTAGTTTTTTACACTGAACTCTTATGGATAAAAGAACTGAAAGAGTTTGAGAATATGCTTTTGGAAGCCTGAATTTTCTTATTGTAATATTACTTTCTGTTTTTTTCAGGACTCTGGTAGCTAAGAATTTAATTCCTGTGGAATCAAGGCTCCAGATACAGCCTGTAACTCAGAAACAGGCACCAGATGGCTCTTTAGGTCCGTCAAATAATATTATTAAGGATAGTGTAAGGACACAAAGTACAGCAAATGTAAATAGTAATGTAGATACAACCAATGACAAAACAGAGACAGGTGTTTCAGAAGCTCCTGTCAGTACAGTGAATACCCAGAGTGGTGAAGCAAGTGCAGAACCCCTAACACTTCCTGGATCATCAAGGAGCAGTCAGAGAGCCGTTTCAGGCAACAGAAGATCCAAGAGTTTTGCTACTCTGTACAAGTTCTGTATCCCAGAAATCCCTGACACAAATTCAGAATCAGAGACGGATTATAGTTGTCAGGGATATGAAACAGGTAAGTTAGAGGGTGGTGAAGTTAGTTAGGTAGTTAATTAGTTTTTTCTTTTCTTTTTCTTTTTCTCTTGTCTTCAAACTTTCAGTGTATAACCTTTATAATTTTATTTTTTGTCTGATTGAATTTTAACCCTGTGATGATGGCTTTTATCCATGCCTAACAGAGCAACACACCTGTATTTTGCATAGTCAGTCACTCAAGAGAAAAATTAGAAACATGGAAGACAAGAACTTTTCCTACTGTCTGCAATTTTAGCTGTAGTGTGTATGATTTTTCAATATGAGAGACTAAAAAAGAGATCTTGAGCGTAGTTTATATGGTATGAGTAAAATAAAACTCATGTATAATAATGATGAATGATAAACAATGGAGCCCCAATACTTAGATTCCTTTGCTCTTTTTCCAGCATACTGTCGGAACACAGAGTTTGAGGAGAGCAGCTCAGAAACTGACTGCTACATCGACGAGTACGAAATTGCCTCCTTTGATGAGCAAGAGCAGAAACAATCTGACGAAGGAGATTCTGATATTGAGGTTCGTAATTCATCCACCTTCCCTACCAATAATTCCAGCTCGTGATCCATGCTGGAATTAAAGGGATTGGTTTGAATTTAAAAAATAAATGGGTGTATCTATTGATTATGAACAAATTTATTCCATATTTTTAAACTGAAGGAAGCTTCTACTACTCATTTTAACTTTGGTGCGTTTATGAAGCTGAATGGACATGCATATGGTAGAGATTTAAAAAGCAGAAAGAATCATTCATCAGTGTAAAGTTGCAACATTTTTTAAGTTGTCTTCATTTTTCTAATAGCTATAGCATTTAGTTTTATTTTATTTTATTTCTATTTCTATTTCTATATAACTCATATCTCCTCTTTCATCTTCCTTTGAATTTTATACTTTTACATTATGGACATAATTAGCTTTATCTGTTAAACGTAAATCCTTTTTACATTTTTCCTGTTGAGAATTTTTTATAGGGTGAGTCTTGATTTTTCTCTTTTATCATTTTATGCAGTAGCAAATTGAGAAGACACATAATAGACACAAACAAAGCAGACACCGTGTACCAGCTCATACTAGCATACCTCAGAATGCATACATAGATAGTAACACTTAGCTACCCTATCCCACCCTTTTCCCCCAACAGGCAACTCCCATATAAGCTTGATATGTGCTAATGTACAGCACCCTACGATTTAATCAAATTGATATCGAGATTGGATACTAAAGTTAGATTTTATTTCAAGGATGTAGAGGTGGCCGTGTTTGCAATCCACACTCTCTGCCAGGATGATTCCGAGCAGGGCTTCTGGGCAGATGACTCGCAGACTGAAAGCCAGTCAACAGACTCGGACCCAGAGCTTGTGGCGGAGAGGTGGAACTGTCTCAGTTGTGGCTTGCGCAACAAACCCTTTGTGCGATACTGTGGCAAATGTTGGCAGGTAAGAGCCAGTGTGTGAGTGGGTGTTTGTGAGGGTGGTGTGGTGTTTTTATTATATATATATATATATATATATGTATCCATATCCAAGAATGGGTATGTAATGATCTGTTGTATTACATAGGTATGTATATAATATTTTATTTTATTATTGTTATTATTATTATTATTATTATTATTATTATTATTCTCCTTTATTAATATAAATACTTTTGTACATCTAAATTTCATAGACAGATAGCCAGAAATGATTTGAGATATTTATCACAAATCTAGAATTCTAGTTGAGTTTTGACGATTAGAATGTACTTCTAATATGGTAAAAAGACTTAATGAAAGATGGCAAGAATAAATTTATGTTGAAAAGAGTTTGTTTACAGTATAATTAAGGGTATATCTAATTCTTTGTTTGTTTGATATTTTAATGTTCACAAAGCTTGCAGGCATTAATCCAGTTGTAATTTTTACACACAGCTAAGAAAGGACTGGCTACCAGAACGATCCAAAAAGAGAAAGAGAAGGAAACCGAGGCCAAAAAAGAAGGCTAAGAAATTAAAAGAGCAGACAGAGGAGCAGAAAAAGACACAGGAACCATCATCAGAAAAGACCAGCCTGTCAGGGGATGTGGCAGGCCCCTCACACACCAAGGAAGTGCTTTTGATATCAGGCACGTTGGAGACGCCACCAACAGGCTCCCTGGATCGTTATGGCTCCCAAGACTCGGGGATATTCATGTCCCAGGAAAGTCTGAATGATTTCAGTAATGATCCTGCAACTTCAAATAATGCAAAAACAGAGCTGGGATCCACTGAGTTTGTCAAGCCAGAGGGGCGGTCCCCTTTATCTCGGCAGTTGTCACTCCCCAGTAGTTGTGATAATGGGGACAGCAAGACGAGGAGGAAGAGGAGGTCATCCCTTTCCTTGGAAGTGGAAATGCCTCCTTCCAAAGCCTCAAAATCTTCTGACTGGCCAGGAAAAGAGGAGAGCCAGAATGATGAGGCTGATGCTCGGTCTGAAGAATTCATTAAGTTCCTGCAGTCGAGTGCAGGAAAGAAGTGCTTTTTACAGTTCCTGCAGTCGAAGTCTGGAAAGGATTGGCTCAGGTCAGATGGTAAATTATTCCAGTGGTCCCAGCCAGTACAAGAAACATGCATGGAAGCCCTTGGAACCAGCGCCAATTCTGGTTTGTCTGGCAGATGTTCACCA